GATTTGATGGACTTGGACCAGTCAAGATTGATGAATGATTAGTTAGCGGCTCAATGCTTGTAATCAATGGCTACCCAGAGGCCCAATTCCCAGTTCAAACCCAACATCAGAGTTGGTAGGTGTGTCTTTTCATGGTGGAACTCTAGGGGTGAACATGGGTAGATATGGTCAAGTATTGGTCCATACTTAACTTGAATGGTGATATGTAAAAGATTTTGATACTTAATACTTATCTGGATATTAAAATTTATATTCATTACTCAACTTATTAGGTGTAGGTATACCATAGATATATTTATATACTTATTAAATTTTACATGAAAAATCCACAAATTAATATACAATTACAAGTTCATATATATAATACAAGTTTATATATAAAAAACAAAATACATGAATATATATACTTACACATATATAAGAATATATATAATAAAAGAAATATAAACAAAAATCCACATAATTTTCCTTCAATTAAATCTTCACTATCAAAACAAAAGAAAAGAAAAAAACATAAATATTTTAATTTTATAACATTATATTACAACTTAAGCATATAAAACTAGAATATAAATTAAGTATATGAGTTAGATATACAAGTTAAGTATATGGATCATGTATACAGGTCAGGTATGCAGGTATTGATCCTCATACCCAATACTTGTCTGATACTTAACATGTATACATTTTTTATACTCAGTACTTACTTATTTCTTTATAAATACAAGTAAAATATTTATTTAAAAAAATCAAGTGCCCAAAAATATCAGATACACCTGTACTCGATGCTCAGCCCTACTTCCACCCACTCTTGGTTCAATTGAGGCCGACTATCGAGTAACAAGCGCGTTCAAAGTTCAAACCCAACATCAGAATCCCTAGGTGTGGTTTTTTCTTTTTTGGGTAGAGATCGGTAGGTGTGCATCTGTGTGTCTTTTATTATTTGCATTTGCATCCTATACATTGTTTTGATAATTAGGGTTTATTTAACCCTTTTCTCATCTCAGTCTCAACGACCAAGAGGATTAAGAATAAAAATAAAAACCGCTTTTTTAAGTGTTTCCACTCTGGAAGATTGGGTTGGGGCAGTGTCTTAAGAGTTAAGGTCGTAGCCCTTCTCTTTTTCCTTGACACTCAAATGCTCTCAACTTTCTCAATTGGAATCCTCAAAGTCTGTTTCTTTTCTTACTTTATTTTATTTTATTTTATCTTTCTAAAGCCAGATAGATTTGTATGTTCAAAAGATGGAATACGAATATGATAATTTGACATGAAAAAATCAAGTTAATCTTTTCATTAATTTTCTTTTATTATTTGATAATGTAAATTTCTCTTTATTTTCTATTATCTTCTATATATATTTTGGTGCTTCTACTAATGGTTTAATTTTTCATTTTCAAGGTTGATTATTTTGGTGAATAATGGGGCAGCATTTTGGAAGTAATTTTATACTTATATTTTTATTTTTTCCATATATTATGT